AGGCTGCTGCCCGGGGCACAGGTGTGTGTGGACGCAGCAGCCGCCAGTGGGGCCGGGGCCAGAATATGAGTGTTTCCATTGTACTGAGCAGGTGGCAGCCCCAGCCAGGGCTCGCTGTGATGCCAGAGTTAAAACCTGATGTTTTGTTCATTTTGACTTAGTTTGCATCCCTGTTCATCTTAAAATGCTGCACTAGAGTATTATCTTGATGGCGGAGTTCTTCATTTCCTGTCACTTTTCCCCTAAGCAAGTGCTTCTCCTGCCACCCACTCGCAGTGCACTCTCTCTGACATGGCAGTGAGGGCAGGACCAGTGTGCATCTCCCTCAGTCTCACCACGATTCTAACCGGAGGGCTGAGGGGCACGGCGGACCTCTGCACCAGGACACGAACTGGGGAGAGATGCCCTGCCGAGAAGACGGCCGGCCAGACTCGGGACAGCTACACGGGCAGTGCCCTGCGCTCGCATCTTTGGGCTGATTTCCCGTCACTGAAACCTGCTGTCTTCCCACGAGACGGAGGGACGCTGCCCTGCTCCATGTGGACCTGAGCCTCACAGGCAGCACCTGGCAGGATGACTTGGCTGTGGAAGAGCCAGGGCTGTGCTTCTGCTCAAACCCAGCACGGGTGAGCCGGCACACACAGGTGCACTCCACCAGGTGCGGGAGGCCCAGGGAGTGAGGCCGATGAACGCAGAGGAGCTGCCACGCCCGTGGCCTCCTCTCTGTCCCCCGGAATGGGGAGGGCCGTGGTGGCAGCAGAGTGGGGAGGAGACGGAGGTGCTAGCAGTCTGGGCTCTGCCAGCCAACACCACACCCAGGACCTCATTCTGAAGAAGGTGAGGGAGAGCCCCCAAAGGCTCAGGAGGAAAGAACTATGGAAAAAGGGGAGGCCAGGACCAGCTTCCCCTCTTGGGTTTTTGTACAAAGGCTACTTGAAAGCTAACAAAACCTTTGGGACTGACTTGATTAAAATAAAAATACCAAGTGATAAATGCGATATTTTCATACCACAGGGTATCAGTAAGCACTGCCAGGCAATGAAGCTCTGGCCCACGCTACAGGCACATGGGCGTCGAAACCATACACTAAGTGAAAGAAGCAGACGCAGAAGACCACACACAGGGCCAGCAGAAGGTACTGGACTGACCATGGTTTAAGTGCCACACCTGGTAGCTGTAAAATAATACCAGGCATGTGTACGTGCATGCCCAAAATCCCAGGAGGAGAGAGGATTGTGGTATGGCACCCACCCTGGGGCAAAATCTTCTGCACTTCCCTGGGCTCCTCCCCAGGCTCTGGGGTCTCATCACCCAGATGCCGCCTCTCTGCCCACCTCATGACCCTCTACCAAGACGGAACTCATGGCCAAAAGCAGGTGAAGAAATGAATGGGAAGGGAGGGGTATTTTGTTTCACCATTCCCGTATGCACCCTGGAACTCAGCTGGTGGTGAACTTAGGCCCCCAAGGCCATGGCCATGTCTCCTCTTCTGGAGTCTCTCCCAAGATAGACACTTAAAGGCAGTGTCTTGTCCTGTGGGTCACCCTCTCTGGATCTCCTATCCCTGGTATCTTAGTGATGCTGGAGCATACATACACACACACACACATACACACACACACAGAGCGTGCATGTGTAGAAGGTCTTTTGGATTTCAATTATAGAACCTAGGATATTCTAAGAGGAATATTTTTTAAATATCTGGAACACTTTTTTTGTATTTATTTAATTGTATATAATCATTTTTCAATTTGATCAGAGACACACAGAGAGAGAGAAAGGAGAAAAGTGAGAAAGCAAGCCACCAGGGACCCGCCCTACAGGGAGCGTCTTGAAGTGGATGCAGTCCCTGTGGTCACAGGATGCAAAATCTCCTAACAAAGGCAGCACCTCCTGGTTAGGGACTGAGCAAGGTTAGGGACTGGGTCCAGTTGTCTGACTGGGTCCGACAGAAACTAGCAGTAACCGAGATCACCAGAGAAGGCCCGGAGAGGCGCTCCACTGCTGAAGCACATGGCTTTGGCATCCTGGTAAAAGAAAGAGCACAGAATGGCCCAGAATGGCCACGGCATTCCCCGGCAGAGAGGTGGGGCTGCCTGACCCCCGACCCCACCACGCCCCACAGCCCTTCCCCTCAGGGTACCTAATCTCTCCACCCTCAGGCCGAGGCAGGACCCTAGACTCCTACCCAAATCCTGGCTCAAAGTCAGCCCTCAGTCTATCTGAGTGGCCAGTCACCTCTTCTGCCCACCTTGTTTGGAGAGACATGCAAACTCACACACAGTGGGTCGCGCCTCATGCGGGCAGCCCTGTGGGCTCCAAGCCATGGTCTCCAGTCAAATGCACAGGGTGGCCACACTGGCCTTCCCTGGAGAAGGAGTCCGACGGCCCCCTCCTTGGGCCTCCACACACCCTGTCTGGGACACATACGCTCCAGTTTCGGGCGAAGCCAATTCCCTCTTAGGTTCAGTTCCCTCTAACACCCTCCTCGCAGCCCTCCCCGTGTCAGGAGAGGCTGCTACTCTCCGCCCTCGTGGGCTGAGCTGCGTCCCTGCAGACGGGGCACTCCCGGGCATGTGGCGGTGTGCAGAGGGCACTGCTCTCATTTCTGGGCACGTGGAGGAGGTCCTTGCCCTGAAGTGTAATCGGACGAGCACCTATGCAATTGCCCGCTGCAGTCCTCGGGCCACTTCAGCCATGCTTCCATCTACAACATGATGCATCCAGCCAGTTTTTCATTATCCACGGGGTTCACGGGGGGCAGGATCATTGAAACGGAAGCCTCATTCCCGCGGAGTTTCTCTCCCCTCCACCTCCCTCTTCCTTGCACAACTCCCAAACCAGGACAGGGGCACGACTGGACCACAGACGGGCTGACGGCCTGGAAGCCTGCATCCCAGCCCTGCCAGGACTTCATGACTGACCGCTGGGGGACGTTACGCAAGCCCTGACTTCAGGCGGGTCTGTGGCATCGGGGCCTGCACGCGGCATGCTTCGTTTCTTATTACCAAGCCACGTCACCTTCCTTTTAAGATATTTCTCCACATTGACTTGTTTTTGTCATTTGATTTACCCCGGAGCTGTAGTAATAGTTGATACAATACTATTTTTGCACTATCCACTAATATAACTCTAACTATTGCACTTTAAAAAAAAATAATAAGAAGATACATTTAAAGGTGCTGCTACCCTGGCGTGGATCTGAGGACAGAGGTCATTAGAGGAGAGACTGCCATGGTGCCCACGGCCACAGTTTCATTGGCAGGATGTACCCTGCGTTTCTTAGTCATGGCAAATGTCCCATGGGCACAGAAGAGGCTGTAGCAGGGTCACTGAGTGAAGGGACATGGGATCGCCCGTGCCACCTTTGCAACTCTTTCGTAAATCTCCAAGGATTCCAAAATAAAAAGTGTACCGAAAAGAAAACAACAGTCCCTCCTAATGTTGAAGAAAGAAGGTGAAAAGTTAGAAAAAGAGAAAACCCCAAGTCCCCCCAGGGGGTTTGCATACCCGTCTCTGGGAAATGCCAGGCCGGACCACAGGTCTGAGTTTTCTCACCGTGTGGAGCAACAGGGCAGGCTGGGGCTCGGGTTGGAGTCTCCAGCCCAGGCCCCTCTGGGGAAGGCTAACTGAGGAAGCCACGACAGTGACCCACGTGGCCTCCCAGCGGATAGGGATGCCAAGTCCAAGTGTCCAGAACGTGCCGAGGCGTCCTTCTGACCTGGCTGACCAGAGGTTCCCCCAACTGCCCCTTCTCCTCCCCCGACCTGTTGCCGCGGCCCCTCTTCCTGTGCAGCGAAGGCTGTTTGGGAAAAAATGCTGCCCTGGACCCTTCGTGGAAAGGTCCCTGTCATCCTGACTGAGGTGCCCCACCCAGCTCGCACCAGGCAGTGACTGTGGGGCTCTGGGGCAGGTGCGAAGCCTCCTGTGCCCGTGACGCCCCCCGTCCTGGGCGGTAACGGCCCTGCAGCTCTCTCCCCAGCACTCTCGCAGCCCCAGACGACGGTGGCCGGGCGAGGAGGCAGAACAGTTGCTGCTCCTGAAACGGTGTCCCTGGCTATCAGACTGCCACTCAGGGGCTGTGACAGCGAGATCATTTTCAGCTCCTGAAGTGACTCTGCTGACCTCACCCACTGATTTCGTATAGATTAATTTGTGTGGACCAAGAAGAAGCAAACAGAAAGCAAGCACATTTCAGCCACAAGAAAAGCTGGTTGCCCCTCCTCTCACCTGCAAACGTTTCTTATGTAAGGAGTTTGCTTTTCTTTCTGGTTGTAAAGAAGGTGAAAAGTTAGAAAAAGAGAAAACCCCAAGTCCCCCCAGGGGGTTTGCATACCCGTCTCTGGGAAATGCCAGGCCGGACCACAGGTCTGAGTTTTCTCACCGTGTGGAGCAACAGGGCAGGCTGGGGCTCGGGTTGGAGTCTCCAGCCCAGGCCCCTCTGGGGAAGGCTAACTGAGGAAGCCACGACAGTGACCCACGTGGCCTCCCAGCGGATAGGGATGCCAAGTCCAAGTGTCCAGAACGTGCCGAGGCGTCC